ACCCTCACACCTTCTCCCCCTTTAGGTCCTGGCAGGTGACGGTCACACCTTCACCCCCACAGGTCCTGGCAGGTCACACTGCTGACTTCACCCCTTTAGGTCCTGGCAGGTGACTGTTACACCTTTATCCCCACAGGTCCTGGCAGGTGACTGTCACACCTTTACCCCCACAGGTCCTGGCAGGTGACCCTCACACCTTCACCCCCTTTAGGTCCTGGCAGGTGACGGTCACACCTTCACCCCCACAGGTCCTGGCAGGTCACACTGCTGACTTCACCCCTGTAGGTCCTGTCAGGTGACCCTGGCCGTGTCTTCCCACAGGTCCTGGAAGACAACGACTACGGGCGGGCGGTGGACTGGTGGGGGCTGGGCGTGGTGATGTACGAGATGCTGTGCGGGCGCCTCCCGTTCTACAGCCACGACCACGAGCGCCTCTTCGAGCTCATCCTGCTCGAGGAGCTGCGCTTCCCCCGCTCCCTGGGGCCCGAGAGCCGCTCCCTGCTGGCCGGGCTGCTCAAAAAGGACCCGAAACAGAGGTGAGAGACACACCCTGGGCAACCTGGGCACACCTGGGCACATCTGAGACACACCTGAGATACACCCGGGCACACACCTGTACACATATAGACACACCTGGGAATGCCCACACGCACCTGGTTACTCATCTTTGCTCACCTGTCTCTCCCTGCCCTCACTTGTCTCACCTGCTGTCACCTGTGCCCACCTGTCCTCACCTGTGTCCCCGTGTTCTCACCCATGTCCACCTGTCCTCACCTTTACTCACCTGTCCCCACCTGTCCCCCGGTGTCCCCACGTGATCCCACCTGTGTCCCCGTGTTCTCACCTTTACTCACCTGCCCTCACCTGTTCCCCCTTGTCTTCACCTGTCCTGTGTCCTCACCTGTCCTCACCTGTCCCCCGGTGTTCTCACCTGTTCTCACCTGTTCTCACCTGTCCTGTGTCCTCACCTGTCCTCACCTGTCCTCACCTGTCCTCCCCTGTCCCCCGGTGTTCTCACCTGTTCTCACCTGTCCTCACCTGTCCCCCGGTGTCCTCACCTGTTCTCACCTGTCCTCACCTGTCCCCACCTTTACTCACCTGTCCCCGCCTGTCCCCACCTGTGCCCACCTGCCCTCACCTGCCGCAGGCTGGGCGGGGGCCCCGGCGACGCCCGCGAGGTGATGGCGCATCGCTTCTTCGCGGGCATCGATTGGCTGGCCGTGCTGCAGAGGAAGGTGAGGCCCCGCCCCGGCCCCGCCCGCCCAGGTGACCCCGCCCCGGCACACCTGGCGAGCGGCCCCGCCCCCCCAGCTGGTGCCGCCCTTCCGGCCGCAGGTGACGTCGGAGGTGGACACCAGGTACTTCGACGAGGAGTTCACGGCGCAGAGCATCACGGTCACGCCCCCCGAGAAGTGTGAGACACCTGAGTTTACCTGTGCTCACCTGAGCTCACCTGTG